GTCCAGGTCCCTCTGAATGGCAGCACAGTCTTCTGGTGTGACTGGGGTGACACTGGCTTTCTTCCAGTCCTCAGGCACCTCTCCTGATCTCCAGGACCTTCCCAAGATGATGGAGAGTGGCCTAGCAATAACATCCGCCAGCTCCCTCAGCACTTGTGGGTGCATCCCATCGGGGCCCATGGATTTATGGATGTCAAGTTTGGACAAAAGATCTCTAACCTGATCCTCCTCAACCAAGGGAGAGTCTGCCTTTCTCCAGCCTTCCTCTCTTGTCCCCAGGGTCTGGAATTCCTGAGGACTGGCCATAGCAATAAAGACTGAAGCAAAGAAGGCATTCAATAACTCTGCCTTCTCTTGGTCACCAGGGCACCCGCCCCATTCAGCAGCGGGCCCACGTTTTCCCTAGTCTTCCTTTTGCTCTTGATGCATTTGAAGAACCCCTTCTTGTTGTCTTTGACATCCCTTGCCAGATTTAATTCCAACTGGGCCTTAGCCTTCCTAAAGTCAGCCAAAGATAACATAAGTTATTGTATTGCGCTCCTTCGACTCTAATTAAAGACTCAATACGTTGAAACATATTTAGTTCATTGGAGCTTCTACTATCAACTTTAATGAGCACAGGAACCATAAGGTCCTGACCATCAAAACACAAAGACATAGAGAACATAATTTGAAAAACAGTCATCTTAAAAGCTATTGTGAAGGTGAAAATAAAAATCAAGTGTGACTGATTATCAACTATTTTCTAAACATAAGTGACTGTACAAAAAAAATAATTTCCCTAAGGAGTCAACCTCCATAATGCATTTTTTTACATAAGCACCTTTATACATCCTAACCACCAGAAAACAATTACAAAGAATAAAAACTGAACCTTGAATGATACTGAAATAACATCAACATTATCACAGCAAGACCTCATGAGATTCAATCAGGGAGGTGATCCTCCCCCTCTACTCAGCCCTGGTGAGGCCACATCTGGAGTACTGTCTTCAGTTACGAGCTCCCCAATGCAAGAGAGACATGGAGCTACTGGAGCGAGTCCAGTGAAGGGCTACTAAGATAACAAAGGGCCTGCAGCATCCCTCCTATGAGGAGAGGCTGCGAGAGCTGGGCCTGTTCACCTTGGACAAGAGAAGATTGAAGGGGCATCTGATCAATGTGTCTAAGTATGTGAAGGGAGGGTGTCCAGAGGATGAGGCCAGACTCTTCTCAGTGGTGCCCAGCAACAGGACGAGAGGCAGCAGACACAAACTCAAACACAGGCAGCTCTGTCTGAACCTGAGGAAAAACTTCTTTGCTGGGAGGGTGACTGAGCACCAGAATAGGTGTCCCAGAGAGGTAGTGAGTCTCCATTCTTGGACATACTCAAAAGCCATCTGGACACAGTCCTGTGCAGTGTGTTCTAGATGACCCTGCTTGAGCGGGGAGTTGGGACTAGATGGTCTCCAGAGGTCCCTTCCAACCCCAACCATTCTGTGATTCAGAACGTTTGGGACCAGGCGACAAGAAAAGGCCCTATAAAAGCATGTTTCATTTAAGTTCTTTTTATTATTTTTTGTATCCCAGATATGAAATCTTCTGGAAACAAACAGAAAATAAAATCTTATCAAATAGACATATACCATTATTTTTTTAATTCCTTTCTTATTAAGAATATATAATAAACAATAGACATCACAGTAAAATCTGAGCTCGACTACAAAGAGAGACTGAGATGAATTTTAGACTGTGCAGTAAAAACGAGTGAAGAAAAAACAGTTTAACTTTAGTACTGTATAAAATTACTTTAGGGCTAAAACAAGTGAAAGACATGAATTTTCTCTGTTTCTTCCTCTACAACACATTAACATGAATGCTGACTCTAATACAGTTTGTTTGTTTGTTTCTCTGATTGGAATCACAGCAGCTGTGACAAAGCACATTTCTGTTTCAGATTGGAGAAAAATAAGTTGTTTGAAGTAGCAAGAGCCACTATTTCTGAACCAGTTTTTAACTTCAGATTGACAGATTTATTGAGAGAGAATTCCGTCATTTTTACAATTTAATGTTATTCCCTTCACCTGCTTTGAAACAGAAACTTCAAAAGCAATGTGATACATAGAATAAAGTTCCACATACTTTCTGGAAATAAAAGCTTTACCTAATAAAAGCCATTTTTTTAGTACTACCTACGAAAGCATTAAAGAACGATAACAACTATCTGCATATGTAAAACTGAAATCTCAAGCATGAGAGTTCAGTAGAAAAGCTACCAGCCTCAATATTCCAAGGAAAAGTTATTTTAACCCCCACAGGAAGAGAAGAGAGTTTGTAAGAACCAGATGACTAAGCAAATTTTAAGAACTGAATTGGAGTTCCCAAAGGTTTTCTATATAAGACTTCTTTACTACCTAAGGTGTCCCAAGCCTATGAATCTGGAGTGCAGGCACTTGGTAATGTGCTGACATATTGCTCTCCACATTAACCTTGATTTTTGGACATCTGACTGCGAGTCAGGCATTCAGAAAACCTTGAACAATTATACACGGTTGGTTCACCTATCAGTTCTACAGGTAGCACTGCCAAAGTCTCATTGTATGTACACTAAAATCCAAAGCAAGATGGTTCGAATTACAATATACTTATTGTAGTATTGACAATACTCATCAATAACAGCAGATCTGACTAAACATACTCTTCTCACAAGATACTTGAGTAAATCTCAAAGAAAGGATTTTAGAAAAAATATATTCTAAAAAATGTATTCTAATACTTTTTTAATTTTTTTTAAAATCAGTACTGTCATGCATAATATCCATTCATATCTAAGGAAATAATCATACCATAACACTTGAGAAAAAATTTCTCCTTTAGGCCAACTTACACATCACAACTCAATTTAATACACAGCTAGTGAAGTACCACCAAGCAGTGACTCCTCTCTCTCAAATCGTACCCCTACCACTCCAATCCCAGATATCGCAATATCTTGACAGATTTGCTATCAATCTTTTTATTCAATAGTTCATACTCTTATTTCTAGTGTGAGCACAAGCATGATGAATTGCAACCTAAGAAGTGGGAAAATCTGAAATGCTTAACACTGACATTTAAAAGAAAAGAACCACTTTTGTTACCCTTACAGTTCAGAATTTGTATTTTCAAAATAAGTTCTAAAAAAGAAAAAATGAAAAAGACCAAAGACCAAAAAGAAACAAAAATGTGACTTATGTGTATATACTCACTCTTTTGATTCACGGGTCTTCTTAGTAACATGTTGGACAAGAGTGTCATAGCCAGACACTTCACCCTGATTTTGAGCAGAAGTACATTTTTCTGCTTCTTCTTCAATCACAGATCCCAGAGTATCATTTATATATTGTCTAAGGTATTTCACAAATTCATAGCTGCAACAAACATCCCAAATTAAAATGGAACTCATTTCCTTGAGCTCACCTTCAAACATTTTCAACATTATATTTCCCTATTTTTCCCTCCCAGATCTCTTACCGTAACATAAGCATTCACAACTTAGAGGAAAACAAACTTCAGCTGTGCAAAAAACACAATCAACTATTATTTTCTTTAATACATTCCTGATCAGCATATTCTATGAAGGAATATTACCAAATAGTTTCTAATTTCCCTTTATGTTTCTTCTAAATGTAAAAATCTGCCCAAACACAACTTAAGATTTTGTGGGCAATTATTATAAAATATCACTAAATATAAAATTTAAAATTCTAAAATAAAAATTTATTGAAGGATGCTGACATAGTGTTGTCTTAAGGCATACTCACTTGTTTGGAAGTATCATTTGTGCAGTTTACATACAAAAATGAAAAGAAACACAGAAAATTCCCTTTACAAATTACTCTAACAGACGAACGCATCTAAGGCCTATGAAAGTCTGTGTGTCACGATAGTATGCCAAAGGTCTTACTGAATCAAGCTGATAAACTAGCTAGCTATGATTACAAACACATGTTTAAAGGTTAAAAATAGCATTTTGTATTCTTACTATTAAATATTTATATAAACATAACAGTTTTTAAAAAGAATAATAGGGGAGAATTTCAAATAAAGAACATCTCTCACTGGGCATTACTCTTCAGACAATATCTTAACAGCAAAAATTGCTTTAAAATACTGTCCAGAACATCTAAACAGGTTTTTTGTTAATATTCCAAATTGTATAAGGGATTAAGCACGCAGCAATCCACAGAAAAATGTAATCATATTAAAATAGTTGATGCATCATTATATTTTCATTATACTAAATGCATATGTGCAAGTACTTTACTTGAATTAGCATCAATACACAGCGAGTACACTTAGATAAAAAACAGAAACAGTTCATTCTGTACACACGAAGTTCAAAACTATAAAATGTAAATGTAATAAAAACAACTGGTATAACAGCTAGCAGCTTTTTCCCTTCACAGATATTTACAAAAAAATAAACTACACTCAAAATAAAAGACAACTTTTATGGTTTTTTTTTTTGTGTCATGATACATAATTTTTCACTGGATTGCCTACACCACGTTCTATCAGATAAAACAGCCCTAATTCTTTTTTTTTTTTTTTCATTTCCCATGCATTTCCCTTCTTATATCATTTCTGTTCTTAATAAAGGTAGTAGAAACATATCTCAAAAAAGATGCAACTCTTCTGCTTATGTTTATTTTTTTTTGTGTTTTCATTTGTGTTCAAGGCCAGCTTTTGCAATGAAATTGCACATTATTCCTTGCTGAATGAAAGATTTCGTGAAACTTTCTCTCATACGTTTTATGACAGTAACATTTTCAGGACACGTATTTTTACAGTGACTGCCCTCATTCTGAAATACACAGCAAACACATCATCAGCCCTACATGGACTGTATCACTTAGCTTGCCGCTACGTTTATGTCTGCTCACTGTTATAGTGTTGATCTTTAATTATTCTACCACCATTAAAACGGTTTGTAATAAAATAAAATACGGGTTTCAGCATTCACAGAACTACTACGTTACATGAAGAAGCAAATCAAACTCAGCTGGTACAACTTACAAAGGAAGCACCAGGAAAAAAGTGCTAAGAAAACTTTAAGTATTTAAGAAAATAAACAAACAGAAAAACAAAACACAAGCCATGCCACTTACACAGTAAAAGTTCTGATTTCTAGCACTGCACCTAAATTTTGAACTTGATTCAACTCACCTTTTTATTAGCTTTCTGAGGACCCCATGTTCCTCCTTCTTCCACATCAAGGCAGGAAGAAAGATTAAAGGCCTCAAAATCTGATAAAATTTCTGCCCCATGGTTATTGTGCTTCAGTAATACTGCTGATGAAAACGCAGAGCTGCACCAGTATATTGTGCAAAGCAAAAGCACATTCTGCTAATAAAGGAGCTCGCAATCTGGAGGGCTGGGGTGAGAGTCAAGCAGAAAGTTTCCTAACGGCATCACTAACAAATCTCCATTTGACCTCTCTGAGCTTCCGTGAAAAAAATCTATATTGCGGCAGATCATGAATATGCTAAGACTAGAATGCCTCCAAAAATATTCCAACACCAGACAGTGATGCTCCCTTTCGGTATTTGAAGCATCACTGACCTTAATTTATACATAAGATAAAACTTCTCTCATGAAGACTAAATATCCCTGTAAACCCCGATGTCGTAATATACTGGAGAGAATAATGGACGCCATGGTTTCACTGTTCTACATGGAGAAGCTATGCATTTTTACACCAGTTGTGGAAACAGAGAACCCTCATATTGGGTATTTTTGTAGCAGCTGTTCAGAAGACATACTGACAAACCTGATATTTTTTACTAGGTACGTCTTCGCGTGAATGAAAATGTGTTACTTTCAAAAAAATACATGTCATTTTTAATTTGGATGTATTTTCAACCAGCTTTTTTTATGCTTTTATTTGTCACCTAGTAACCCAGTACTCGAATTCTGAATGATTGCCAAAATATTAAAAGTGTTATCTGCTGCAATATGCAAAACAAATTTAAAATGAACTAAAATATAAAGCATTTATCATCTGAAGATACAAATACAAGAGAGTTAAAATGACAGAACTAGGGTTTATCCAAAATTTAACTATTTCACTTGTTCACTTTTGCCTAACTTCCACTACTGACAGAGCTATGCTAAAACTAGACAAATTTAAGAGAGGATAGCTAATGCCACTCCTCTGAAATAATTGGCAGATAGTCAGCTTTTCCAGAAGAAATCAGGTCACAGAACTCTGTCCTTATTAAAATGTCTTTAAGGTCATTTAAGCTTGAAATTCTCTTGATACACCTTATATTTGTCCTAAAAATCCCTTGTGTAGTAAAAAAATATTGTATGTCTTGTAGCTTAGGAACATATTAGACTACTGCGGAAAGGAAAGAGGATTGTAGGTTCAGGACAGTCTAGATAGCATCTAAGTGGGATCACACTGCCAAGCTTGGTTTAATAAAAATGTAAAGGGGCTATATTTCTGCTTTATCACAACGTGCATTAAAAATAACAACTATCTGGTAAGATATAAAAGGATTGAATAGTATTGGCCACAGAGAACAATTAAAGCTGGCAGCCAAGCAGCCTTTTGAAAATTTATCTTACTCTAACAAGCAAAACTGTATTGCCTAACAGATGTTAAAAATATTGACTGACATTCTTCAGTTAGGATTTCTTCTAGCTTCTGTTTGCCTGTGCATTTCGTACGTTCGAGTTGGCCAAGTTAGCTAGTTTTTGTGAGTTTCTCTCTCATAAATGAATTGTCATTACTGTCAAAATAACATATTACCGAGAGGAAAAAAATTTTGAAAAATAGCAAAATTCACTTTACCCTCTAAATTAACATCTTTGCATACGTATTTTCATACATAGTTTCCTGTGGTTGATCAATTCTGCATTCACACACATCAATAAGAATTGTAACTATTTCCTGTTAATAATATAGTTAAACACATTTAACCCCTTTCAAAGCACTGAAAATAGCAAAAATATTTTTACTTGTGAAAATTTTCATCGGTCTCCTCCAAATGCAAGAGGATCTCTTCTGCACATTCTACCGATGGGGCTCCTGTGATTTTTTCCTTCACACTCTGCAGCAATTGTCTAAGCATAGACTGTAACAGAGCTTCATCTTCATTTGTAAAGTGAGACATCTGTATGAAGTAAATATAAGAATAATATGCTTTCATATTTCTCAGAAGGTTTTTTCTTCCTCTCCTTAAAATTTTAAGAAAAGTATCAAAGCCTAACTTATCACTTTTTTCCTGTTATGAACAGTATGAGACTGTATTCTCTATCAAATACTTTCTGTCTGTGGTCCTCTTTTCTGACGGGGCCTATCTTCAGACAAACTAGATTCAAACTAATCACATCAGTTTTAATGAATCTCCTGTTTCCACAGTACAATATTCTCAACCCACATATTGCATTAAGAAAATCCTGACTATTTTGGACATGTTCATCTAACAGGCACAAGACTCCACTGTAATTACCAAACAAAGAAAACAAGTTTTAAAGGAGGTTGCACTGATGGAACCACTATATCTTGGTAAGAAACCCCTGAACAACTTCTTATATTCTCTTACTACCCAGTTCTGATTTCTGGATCCCCCCACTCAGGGCTGCTGCAGTGTCCATGGTGGAAGGGGCCAAGCAAAATCATCAAAGCCGTTTAATTTCCCTGTGGTAATCAACAGCAGAGTGCCCTGACAGAGACCTGCCAATTCAACACTACCATTACCGGGAAAAAATGGGAGCATCAGCAGATAGAAACTGGAAGTATCAGTCAAGTCCAGAAGATGGTGTCTTATCAGTTCAATTTTCTACAGTTAAAAAAAAAAAAAGCTCAATTTCTATATTAATTATTTAATTTAAGTTAATAGCTTTAACTTTTTTTAATACATCAAGAAATACTTCCAACTCCGGGGCAGTTACATCGTCTATATTTCTAACCTATTTGAGGTTGAATGATTTAGAGACCTTTTTTTAAAAAATAAGATCAATCAAAACCTTCTGAACACCTGCGAATAAATGATATGCACACTTGGAAGAGACAACATAATACATCACTTATTCAGACTTAAATACTGTTAACTAACAGAAAAATAACCAAAGCCATATAGCACCAATGGGAGGAGTTGCCCTTTATTGAACATTAACGGGTGGCTGATTTAGCAGTTCTCCACAGTAAGCAGCACAGTTGCTGAACATTTTATTTTGATCAAATATAATTCAGAATTAACTTAATCATCTTACCAGAAATAGTATTAAAATAAAAAATTAAGTCTCTTGAGACATTCTCCCAATTCCCTGGTTTGCAGTCCCTCTTTCTTATAAATTCTAGTCTCTAGACATTTAATCAAAGTCAGTGTACTTTTAGGTCTAAATAAATCACTCTCATAAATCTTGCATTTTGACTTTGCTATCGTATTACCCTGCAAAAAACTTCACTTAGGGTTTTGGTGTAGCTAGACATTTTAAAACGCGTAAGTATCTGGCTATGGGCTAGCGAGCAACGCGAAGCACTGTTCCCAGTTGTTTACAGACAGAAATCCTGAGCGCAGCAGCTTCATCTCTAGCTTGCTCTGAAAAGCGTTATTCGACCTACATAATCACCAGCACAGATACTTCTCTTACAGCTCATTTGCAAAGGTCATTTGTGCTGTGTTTTTTCCGCGGGCACGTTCCCCAGGCAGTTTCCCCAGAAAATTTAAATCGCCGTTTCTTCCCTCTAAGAAGCATTATACCAAGTCTCGTTTGGTGCAACTTGACCCCCCCCCCTTTTTTTTTTAATTCAAGCTTATTTTACAGAAACTGTCCCAGAACATCAAAGGGAAAGACTGCCCTAAAAACGACAGGCTGATGGCAAAAGTTTCCTGTCGGAGGAGGGTATTTCTCCTCCCGACACGGCCCTGAACACCCGCGTCATGCCCGAGGCGAGGTTCCCAACAGCAAGGTGTTAATTTCAGCCACGAGCTATTGACTCCAGCTCAAACACGACCGCTTAAAGGCCGCTACTTCTCCCAGGTTTCATCGCCGATCGTTTCACCCGCTTTCCCAGGCCGGGCCC